TATGTGATTTTCCTGAATGATTTATTCTGATTTTTTTTCCATTCTCATTTCAGCTGGGGGTTCACGGCTATGCATTCTTAAACACTAATAATGGTTATATACTCTCTCATCCTGACCTTCGACCTCTGGTGAGCAGCTGCATACATTCCCTTTAGAGGTCTTTTGACTTACTATCATAATTTGCTGTTAATTTAATCACTTTCACACCATCCAAAATATAGGTGTTTGTTTTTTCCTCTTTGATAGAAATTTGAAGAGGCATTTAGCTAAAACATGATGCTTAATGATTCATAAAATAAGTCAATAGCACTTTGAGAGTCAGAAAACTATATTTAGGCAAAATAAAATTAATACCACTCAACCCTAATCATACACAGAGGGCTTTTAAAGCTTAATGATCAGTCTGTGTGAAAATATTTACAAAATTACTAACTTAAAGCCATTGACTCATGCCTATTAAATCCCCAAGGCATCAGGTTGAGTAAATTAAGAGCAGATTTTCATTGTTTGTACAAATATCAAATATTAAAGCTCAGCTGTTTACATTTTGCTATTAGTTTTGTAACACATTAAGTTTGTTTTATTCTGTACTTTGTGTTAGTATAAAGATGGCAAGAAGCTGAAGCCAAAGCCGAACTATAACAGTGTGGATTTATCAGAGGTGGAGTGGGAGGATACAGAAGATGCAGTAAGTGGAATATTAATAAACACTCACTCACACACATACACGCACGTACATCACACCATTTTTAGATCAATTGCTTCAAGGTGTTTGTGTGTGGTGATCCTTTAGCTGAGAACGGCGATGGTAAAAGGGGAAACTGGGACAATCTCTCTGGACGTCAGAGCAACAGTAGAAAAAGGAGTAAGTTGTATTTGACCTTTAATTTGCTGAGTTTGAAATATATCTAATTATAACCAAGCTGTGACTGTCATACTTACATGTTGATGTCTTTTTTCCTCAGAAAAGAGTTGTGTTCCTGAAAAATGAATATTTTTATACTACCATCAATGAGACGCCATTTAGGTGACCATACTAAAAGCCATTAGATTTTAAATATATAACTAATTGTGAGACTTCTAAACTTATGCATTTGTTGTTAGTCTTGGGATTGTACTTACCAACGGTCACGGGAAGAATGTTTTCATCGGAAATGTTTCAGTTGAAGAAGGTAAAGATTTTCAAATTATTTTCTGCAAAGTAATAACCATTTGCCTGATTTTTGTCACTATTAGTTGTGATGTCTTTCTGTCTACAGGCCTACATGACCTGACTGCGTCTGATGTCAGTATTGCTCAAGAATGGTGGGTGTTTGCTAGGGCTAAATGCTAGATTAGGCTGTTTTGACAGCGCAGTGATTTGATTTACACTGATCTGATGTTTTTTTTTTTCTTTTGTTTAAGGACATACTGTGAGACAGACATCGATCCACATCATCGCAAATTGACGCAGCTTCAGGCCGTGGTTCGGTATTTAACAGGAAAAGAACCAGATCTGGAATGTGAGTTCTGTTTTTAGAAACTTGCACATTCTATTTATTATTCATATAAATAACGAAGAAGAAAAACAAATATTTCATCAACATGAGTCAACAAGGTACTTAAGTAGTAACACAATATACTGAAATGCAATTTTCAGAATATAGTCAGCTGTGTAATAATTGCCATAATTGTTATAATCCTTGAAAACCGCTTGACTGATGTGCAAATTATCATAATTTTCAAACTTTCACCCTCCCTGCAGCATAACCATTTTCGTACGTTATTAACCACAATTTAAACGCTGAATGCTGACTGATGATACCCTGCTCTGTCTATTCTTAAGGTGATGAAAGGCTTCTGCAGCAGACTCTGTTTGACGCAGTGGTCACAGCTCCTATGGAAGCCTATTGGACTGCACTGCTGCTCAACGCCTCCGGGTACCATTTCCCACCCACACACACAGCGTCACAGACAAGTTTCATTAGTGAAATACGTGCTCGGCCGTGACCTTTCTCATTCTTTTGCATGCAGTATTGATGGGGGAGTGGAGACAGCGTTCCTGGGCACGCGCTCTGGCCTCATGAGGATGATCAGATATGCTGGCGTAGAGAAGCGTGTGGCGAAGTGAGTATACCTTTAATCAAGAGCTCCCGCTGTCTGCATCACGACTCAACTGCATAGGCTGCGTCTGCTCTGTCACAGGTTTCCTTGAGGCCACTCACTCCCACATATAACTTTCATCAGTAGGCACTCTAAAATACACTCAACACTGTAAGGTAAAGAGGAACAGGCGGTAATGCATAAAATACAGGCTGTATATATATGTTTTAGTTATAGGATAACCATATTTATGTACATCAAAGTAAGTAAGGCAATGACCACGCAACACATATAATTGGGTCAAAGACGAAAAGGGTATTTCTAAGCAAAAATGAACGACTTTAATACATTTTAAACATGATTTATTGTACATACGACATCCACTATTAACTTCACTAATGCCGTTAAGTGAAGCAATTGTTTATATATCAAAAATCTTGTCAGGCATAATTAGATCAAGAATCATTTGATGACATATTAAAAGACACCAAAATAGGACATCTCATCTTTGACCTATATATTAATGTTGGATGTTTTTTTTTGATGGTTTCTTTGCAGAAAATTCTTAACTGCATCAGATAAGGAGAATATTTTTACTCTAGACCATTTCCCTGTTTGGTATCGGCGTGCGGCAGAAAATCCAGCTGGCCGCTTTTTGTACTACGTTCCTACAGAGGACAACTCAGGAGGTAGCCTGTACCCTGCAGTCCACATCAAAACAACTGAGACTTTACAGCCTTTTGAGAGTACAGTGCTCAGTATTTTTTTCGTTTCTTTCCCTGCAGTGAACGGCAGGTTTGTGATTGCTGTCACGCCTGTTACAGTCTCTGTGAGCAAAAAGACAGCAGTTGCTGGAGGTAGGATTTCCCTGGTTATTCTTCACTTTTATTCTGACGAAAAACCTCTAGTTGAATTGATAATATTCATTTTGTCCAGTGTACACACATGTGCCCGTGTATGGATGTGCAACCATGTATGGTGTTTACCTCCGCATGAACATCTCTTTGTGACCTTTGCTTGTGCTACTTTCCCTGTACTCCTAAAGACACGCATTACTGATGACGTATTAGAGCATTTCTGAAAAGGAAAAGATACAAAAAGCAATGAAATAATATGAAGTACAGTATGTACTTGTATCATTTTCATTCTTTTAAATAGCAGCCCCCATTAAACCACATTTAATGTTTATAAGACCAAAAATAGTCACAAGCAAAGCATGTAATATAATACGAATTTGTTTGTGATTTGTATTACCTTCATTTCTTTTCTGTAAGAATACATGGTTATGGATTCAGTGGCAATGGAAAAACACTTCTATAATGGTGTAGTTAAAGGTGCAGTAGGTGATTGTCGTTTTTGCTGGTTGAAAGTATCTTCACATTCCAATAGTACTGATTAAAGTAAATGATCTAAATGTATTTATATGTATTTTTTATATTCTGGGTAAGGCATAAAACTAAAAAATGTTCATCCAATTAAAATTTGCCGGGCGGACAATTCCCATAATTCTGATAAGTAGCCCTAACTGGCTGTCAACATTTGTAGATCTGTACATCTGTGCACCCCTTTTCATACAGAAAGATCCACTGTTTATGCATGCACACATGTTTAAGTTATGTGTAATGTTACGCTTTAAAACTATTTTAGTCACGCAAAGCTGATGTAGTTTTGTTATTTTACGAATGGGCTATATGCACAGAAGTGTTGTTCAGCCACTGAAACCACCTGGTAAAAAGACTGATGTGACTAGGGACCTTTTACAGCATCGATAACGTAGATTTTTTGCTTGGGTCATTATTATTAGCTGTTGAAGGTGAATCAGTGAGACAAGGTCTTTTTTATGGAGGACAAATTACAATTTTTTTAATTTTTTGGTCAGCCAGGAGATAAAATAAACTAAGACAACATGATAGCAACTAAAAAAAAAAAGTAAAATATGACGCGCCCCCCACAGTGCTTGCTGAGGCCCCCTTGTGGGTCTGTACCCCCCTGCTTTGGTGTTTTAAAATATTATGTTAATGGTAAGCATTTTGGCAGATCACCAACTGCACCTTAAAAATATCTGCAACCAGAAGCTATCTGGACTGTATGCTAACCAGACAACAAGTCTGATGCATCCCAATCACATATTTAAGCACTATCCTATGCCATTTTGTAGTATGAATATGTACATTTTTTATTCACATTAAAAATCAAAAAATGGTAAGTACAGTTTAAATACAGTACCTAGATGATGTACTTATTTAGTCCATAAACAGAATCAAGGAATGTTGAACACGTCATGCATTCAGTAGTCACAGCTTTGCTTATGTAGCAAAAGTGGAGGAGCTATCTTTCAATAAAGTTGGATTGCATTATTTATTTTGGATTGTGCAAACAAAATGATCTAACATTATGAGATTATTTTGCTGCCTCCTGATGGTGAATGCAGGTATACTCATGACAGCTACTATTTGTTAGTTTGGTCATTTATTTCACTAATAGGGCAACTTTAAAGGTCGACATGGTTTAGTCTTGCAAAACCTGAGCTTCTAACAGAGAGTTAAAAATAAATCTGGATTAATAGATTTTATTGGCCATGTTACTAATATGTAAAGCGATGATAATATCCATGTCATTAGTGCTATGAACTAGACATTTGGTTAAAAAAAAACATTAGTTGTTCATGAAAAGCATTAATGGTCACAGTTGAAAACATGACAACATTATTCCATATGAAAGGGGTTTTTCCTCATGAAGCTTCTTGTTTCTAGATGGACTAACAAGTGCGACACACACATCTCACTGATATGCTGTAGAATTAATCCAATAGTCAATGCTTAACCCTTGTTTTTTTTATCTGTCATATTTGAACCTGGATTTCACTAATTGAGTTTGAGCAAACTGTGTGAGTGCTTGCTGAACTTCAAACTTAGGCGTTTACGGAAATACATTCTTTATTCATTTTAACACAGAATTATATCACAGCTCACAAATCATATTTCAAACTGATTTTTATCAAGCGAAAATATAAAGAAGGATCTCATATCAGTCTTAGAAAAAAGGTCAAGTGAAGAAAGGGTCACATCAATACGCTATAAGATATTAAATCTGAACTTCAGAGAGATTTTGAAGATGCTTTCAGCTCAGTCAATTGGACAAATTCTTTCCTTTCATCCATCCAATGGGATTTACAAAGCTTTCGTTTTGCAGGGAGGTGTAGTGAACTGTGTGGTGTCCCTGCTGTTATATGTAAGGCCAGGACAGAGAGTAAACACACCTAAGCTGAGTCGCTGCTCGTTTATAAATGGCCCTTCATATTCACTGACATTACATCACAACTACTCTGTCGGCTTAGATTCAGAAAAAGCGCATTGCTGACATCAATAAACAAGCATGTGCTCACTTTTGAGATTATTCGCAATAAGTGCAATTTGACAGGAAAGTATTAGTCCACCAGTGGCAAAAGTGCTTTTTTTTCATAGAAGAGGATACAGGGTATGTGTATTGTCGCCCCGTGCAGAGAACAGGCCTATGACACATGCTGTATAAAATAAGAGCTAACTTAAACAGTAACGGCAGGAAAGACCGCAACCATTAGACAAAACTCCTCTCATTAATAATTCATGAGTTTTCTCTCACAGAGAATTTTCGGAGTTCCTCTGCGAAAGAAATTTGCAGGGAAAAGGTATTCTCAGGTTTTGCGAGTTACTGTTCATAAATAATTTGTAAGACACCGATTAAAATATATACATGTATTCAACATACCTTTGAATAAATGTATACCTGTACTTATATATAGTCAGCATATGGCTGGAAATATCACTGAACACAGAGACAAGTCCTAGACGCTTAACTGCTGGTGTCGGTATTGGCACGCAAATTAGTTGTACTTTGATTTACAACTTTTTGCCAGCAACCTTACCAGTAATTTGCATTGGTAATGAATAGTGTGTGGGAAAGATTGTTGCTATAGTTACAGCGGAAGAGCATCTTCTAAATCCTGATGAGGTGGTGTGATATTTGCTCCGCACCCTTGTGCCTACTGCACATCCTTCCTACAGATGGCAGCATTGTGCAAAACACCCAACGATGACGTTATTCTTGACATTAGCAACGTTATAATCTGGTTCTAAATTGTAAGTAATATTGAGGCAAAATATATGTTGGTTCACATTAAGAGCGTGTAACTAATTTCTGCCAGTCTTTCTTTCCCTTTCATGTCCAGTCGCTGAGGCTGAATGCCGCAGAAAAGCTTATATTGATGATATCTGTTGGCTTCTGAAAGCCTGAGTCAAATTTATCTGAATTATTCAGTCTAAACAACTTCTGCCCTCAAAGAAAAGCGGATTATGCAAATTGGTCCACAAGCAGAAAATTGATCGCACAAATGCAATCGATTCCCGTTCATCGTCAGCCCGAGAGAAAGGATCAGACTAAATCAGCTATGACATCTTAGTCCGGAATTAAACAACAGACCAACAAAGACATTGATTTATATTGCACAGAAAAATCTATCTTAATAAAGGTAAGATTTATTTCCTCCTCAGCTATTGCCTTTCTGTTTTTAGTTAAGAGGGCAGCTATTCTTTAGGACCACTGTGCTTCTTTAACCACCAAGGTGTAATTAACATTTCCAGTAGCCACAATTCGCCACCCTCCACTAACAGAGTCCTCAGCCTGCTCTACATTAGCACTTCACGATACTTCAAGACACTTCACGATAGACACCAGGGCTGGATTCTTCTATTCTTACAAAAACACGTCTGACCTCTAGAGATGAACATGGGGAAACAGCAAACAGTAAACAAACAAAACAATGTTATCAACACAAATTATTATCACACAATACAGAGGACAAACCTCACACTTAAGAACAGAAATCTGGGGTCACGTCACATTGTATAGAATATATTATAGCTGATAAATAAGATGGGAATATTTCCAAATATGATATGCGGGGAAATGATGTCCATTGCACACTAGGATAAGGTTAAGGGTTACAGTTAGGATTGGAGGTGAGAGTTGGTTAGAGTTTAGTAAAGGAATTAATATTTGGGTTGGGAGGTTTAGGGTTGAGGGTTCAGATTAGTGATGGGGGTTATGGTAAGGGTAGGGATTAGTGTTGGAAATTTGGGGTTTGATGGTAAAGATCAATTATGAAACTTTATGGTAAATGGTTGGAGTGGGTTTTGGAAAGGGCTGGGGTTCAGATTAATCATGGAGTGTTATGGTATGGTATTGATGTAGTTTTAGGGTAAGGGAAATATTAGTGTTGGGGGTTAAGGGTTGGGTTTAGATTTATGATGAAGTGTTAGGGCAATAGTGTTTGGGGTTAAAGGTTGGAGGTTCAGATTACTGATGGAGCGTTGGGGTAATGGAGGGACTAGTTCAAGGTGTAAAGGTTGGGGTTAGATTAGTTATGGATTGTTAGGGTAATGGAGGGGTTGTTGTTTGCAGTTAAGGATTGGGGTTAATGGAGGAATTAGTGTTGAATTAAGGTTGAGCGTTAGATTAGTGATGGAGTGTTAGGGTATTGGAAGGATTAGTGTTGGAGGTTTAGAGTTGGGGTTCAGATTAGTGGTGGATTAATATAGTATGACTGGAATTAAAATTGGTGGTTGATGGGTAAAGGTTTAAAACAAGAGCTGGAGGTTTAGGATTACACAGTGTTTACACCGAGCATGTCTATTGACAGGAGATGCAGAAACTGCATGAGGCTATGTAAACTAGACAAAATTAACATTACAAATCAATTTGTCCTTTTGTCAGAAGTAGAACAAGCACATACAGTACACCAGAAATTAGGACGTCTGTTTACGGTCTGTGACTCAGTATGATGCATCGAGAAGCAACATTGATTATAATGAGTGTTATTGGTTTTTGATGTGGTGTGGACCCGGTGTAGACACAGTGTTACCTCAATGGTCAGATGAGCCTATATAGTAAGGATTGGTATTAGTATTTAAGGGTGACAGTTAGATTGGTGGTTTTGATTAGTATTGAAAGGTTGGGATTAGAGGTAAAGGTTTTGGGGTTAGGGTTATGATAGGATGTTTGGTTTATGGTTATGCTGCTACAGAGGCTAATGCTAATGACAGCACATGATCCTCTAGAAACATCAGGGTTCAGAACTGTGAACAGTTGCATCCACGCCTCCTCTGCTGAGATCCTCTCAACATTGGGGGAGGGTGGGGGAGTTTAAAGTGCTGAGTGGTCCCTCTTGTCCTGGGGCAAATAGGTCAAAGGTCATAAGCCAAAGTTTAGAGATTGAGTAAAGAGTAAGTCTGAGAGTCAGAGAGGGTCTCAGGAAGGACAGAGAAACAGGACACAAGGATGATGAATCCTCCGCTGGGCAAGTGATCATCAAATGTGCAGCTCAATCAGTAAAGGATTCTTTATATTTGTAGCATCCCTCTGAACTTTGACCCCTCTCCCCCGTTCCCCTATGCAACTGATGAGATCTGTTTTTCCTCTGGGTCGGTTTCGGCCTCTGCGTCACCCATCAAAGGCTGCCTCTTCTTTAGCTCTCGCTGGTATTTTGCCATCAGAGAGGCATAAATACAGCCATACGCTGCGGCAGCTACCATCATTATACAAACAATTCCACAAACCACACCAGCGATCACTACTGTACCGATCGCCCTGCGAACACTGACCGGCCGATAGCGCTGCTTCACACAGTCTGGTAGCTCTGCCTCTGTACGTACTACAGCACTGTCAGATGACGGAGCGGCTGTCCCTCGAAAACATGGTGGCGATCCACCTTTTGTGCTCCCAGTCCCGCCCCCATTTTCATCCTCCAATTGCAGACAGTAGTTGAACATCTCCACAGGAACGCCCCTGATGTCACGGCCCCTTAAGTCCTTCGGAAGTGTACACTCAACAGCATCGACATAACCGCCTACAACAGAAAGCAACAGAACAAGACAAATCAAAAGTTTAGCTCTCTGAGGTAAACAATAGTCACCTCTAATTAATTTAAATGGCTGCTTCAAGCCCTCCAAAATAGCACTGCACAGCGTAGAGGGTCAGCAGCACTCTTCAATTTGTGTGTGTGTGTTTGTATGAGAGGAAGAGCAGTAGCTGGTGTATAATTAATAAGCCTGACATGCATACAGAAGCTCTGTTCCAAAACCCAGTGAGCTGCCATGCTGCCTCCTGCTCACAGCTGCCTTCGAATGTCATGCTAACTGTCATGGAACCTCTTAAGTGAATAATTTGGAGTGCTCTATGTGGGCAGAAACTCCACGTCAATCAAAGTCTTCCACACAGAGCAGCAAAAACACACTTGATTTTAATATTGTTTGACAGTGGCACCTTGCTAATGCTGCAGTAATCCACTACATATACTGTACAAAACACACAAATTCCAAGTAACGTAATTTATATTTTAAGACTTTCAGTACTGAATAAAATTAACTGCACCATCCTATTAATAAAATTGATTGTGAGTTTAGATGGAAATAAATGTTATAAATTATTCGAAAAAGTATCTTAGAAGGCAGCACAAGTAAGAAGCCTACCTACATGTCAAGAGAGCATCTATGATGCCTTAAAATCTTGCCTCCATATGCAGCTCACTAGGTTTTGGAGCAGCACAAGAGAGTCAGAGCCCACCAAGACTGGAGTCTCTTTCTCACACACACTAAAAGCTTTGTGACTCAGCCTCTCATGTCTGTTTCAAATCCCCCTCCCTCTTAAAGCTGCTCTGAAATAGAACGAAATGAGTTTCTCTGACTCAGAGTAGAAGGATTGAGACAGACCGAGAAAAACAGAAAGCGAGAGGTATGGAGAATAAAAAGCAGAGGATTCTCAGTTCTTTTTCACAATGATTTCTGGGGTTTTGCCACATTTCATTGCCAATAGTAGACAAAAGATGGATGGAAAATTAATAGGTAGAGTGTGGGTATAATATGTCTGGAGTGTTATGCACTTACATTAGGTTACAGCTCCATCTGTTAAGAGGCTTAATAAACCTCTTCTAAAACAGATCACTTTTTAAATTATCGTTGGTTGAACTGCAGTCAAAGCCCTTTTAAAATGCCAATAAGCATACACTTCACATGATTGCACATACAATTTTAATGCAGTACAGTAAGTTGCTATGTTGAATACTATAACTTGTGAGGAAAATAGTTCATTTGATTTTAAATATTAATAGGTTAATTATTTATTGAACACTGCTGTCTATTATTATACTGTTGTTGCTGCCTCTTTATGAGTTCACACTAGAAAATTATAATATATATTTATATGATCTAGTTTGTCAAGATAAGTTCAGTTTTAGACAAAATGTCCCCAAAAATGTCCCACCTGCTGAAGGACAGTGACAGTTAAGAGAAGGCAATTCACCGTGGACTATTCCAAAGAATACCTTGGTAAAATCCAGGAAATTCATAGCCTCTTGTGGTTTATTGCTTAAATGATGTTTGTACACCTGCAGCAAGTAAAAACACCACACACACGAAGCTCTCACCTCTGTATATTAGCCACTCCATCCAGTGTTTGAAGTCTCTCAGGTTGCAGTCACACTCCCAGGGGTTCATGCCCAGCTCCAGGTGCTGAAGGTTGACAAGAGGCTCGAACGTGGCTCTCTCCAGGGCGTGAAGTCTGTTCCCAGCCAAGGAGAGCCAGGTTAGCTGTTGCAGCTCATCTAGAAGGCCCAGTGGCACAGCGGCCAACCCGTTCAGAGACAGATCCAGCTTCCGCAGATGGGTCAGGCCGCGAAACAACTCGCGATCCAAAACCGTCAGGCTGTTATTACGCAAACTCAATTCGCTCAGGTTACTCAGCTCACGGAACAGTCTGGAAGGAAGGTTGTCCAGGTAGTTGTTGGACAGGTCGAGTGTCTCCAGGGTGCTCAGGTTGGCAAAAGCAGAGAGGGGCAGGGAGGAGAGGCGGTTATTGGCCAGAAGGAGGGTATGTGTGCCCTCCGGGAGAGAAGTGAGTGCGGGCACAGATACTAGACTCCTCCCACTGCAGTTAGCTTCCAGTGAGTTGCACACACATTCTGAAGGACAGCCAGCGCATAACTGCAGCAACGTAGCACACACACTCAGCACACCTAGAAAACCTGTGTTGAAGAAGAAAAAGAAAAAAGTGTATATCGTCTGAAAGGTGACATCATCCATTAGCTCTTGAAAGCTACTATGTGAAAAATGTGACAGGTGTTGATTTGGTGCCACTGTGAATCACATGTACAGTATTCAATTAAGCAGATGCCTGGACTAAACCTGTGGCTGCTGATCTTACCATACTATTTTAAACTTATGAGCTTATGTAAACCTATGCACAGACTTCTGGAATACAGGGGTATTTTTTTGCACCTACAAGAAGCTTCAGTCTGTTGCAGCAGCTTTTGACTATTTCTCTCGCTCTGTGTGTGTGTGTGTGTGTGTGTGTGGCTTATAAATCACGCAGAATTAAGTATTTTGAAAATGTAAAAAATGCAGATTGTTTCCTGTGAGGGTTGGGGTTTGGGGTAGGGTGATAGAATATACAGATTGTACAGTATAAAAGTCATGACATGTATGGAAAGTCCCCATAAAGATAGCTTACAAGTGTGCTTGTGTGCACACTGCAGACCAAACTGTCAGTCAGTCGATGTTGCGCCATCAGTCAGTGTCTGTCAGCCTAGTTTTTACAGTGTGTTGTGCACATATTGGCTTAAGTTTAGTCACATAGGCAGTCGTTTCAATGACAGGTTGCTCTATTTAGTTTGTTTTTTGTTCGATTTAGAAAACTAGTCAGTGCATGAGAATTAAAAGTGACACTGATGAAAGCAGGCAAAGATGTCTTATACACATACAGAATGGCACATGCAAAATGTTGTTCTAAAGTAACTTCTTATCAGAGCATTTGAACACACAAATATTTCTTTAGCTCTTATCGGGGAGCTCATAATACTTCTTTTATGCATTATTGTTGATTAACTCTGCATATGTTTTGGACCTGTGCATCTCATGGAAATATTGTTTGATTTGAAGGACAAGTTTCACTTGAGAAGGTCTGAAAAGCTTCTCCAGTGGCATAAGGCTTCTCTGTTCTAAATGAATGCTTTATTTGTGGTATTGTATGATGGGAATATAATGTGCCTCAGAGCTAAACAGAGGATGTCCTCTGCTCTGCCATGACAAAACAAACATTTGCCAACTGTTCGTCAGCTCTCTCTTTTATGCAACAGTGTAAGAGGGTGGGGAGCAATAACTCTCTTTGTGTATGAAACAATCACACGCTATGAATGGATACTGTGGTTTTAAACGTCAAGTTCCCAGTTGTCTTGTTGTTGAAAGTGTATGTGTGTGTGATAGTGTTTGGCAGTTTGAGAGTGCAGACAGATGCAGTTACAGCACTCAGATATCGGATCCCGACCAGCCTCAACACCCTGATCCCTCTGTAATCAGAGACACATACAATCATCGCAAACACACACTCTCTCTCATACACACTCACACAATTCTGTGTAATCTCAATAATTAATCCGTCCTCTTAAACTATGTAGTTGTGAATCATTCTAGAATTGCTGTTTTGGCCCGTCAAACTTCAATCTTCAGCATCTCCCTTTCTCCTCAAATATTTTATTCTATTTGTACGATAACAAAGGTGTGTCAGGACATCAGTCATTTGAATGTGTTCTTGAAACACAATGCTTGTGAGTTATGCTTTCTATGTCTACAGAACAATCGTTTTTAAAAAACCACAAAGATGCCTGTGTGTCATCACAGAAATCTCCTAGAGAGCTGACGTACTGTGGTTTAAAAGAAGACGGATGTCTGTTCTGTGCCTGCTCTCAGATTTCCCCTTAAATGTTGTTTTACTGTACCTCTTTTCTTACTCTATAGGATTTGATTATTTTTATTGCATTACTCCAGATGCCAGAAAAAATTATGCAAACACTGGAACACAAAGACATTCTGGAGAACATGTTGGTTGCTTCTTGACAATGAAACAATTTTAAAAAGCTACAAAAGCACAAGCATAAGACATGTGCTATAATTTATAATCTTATGAATTACTAACCTAGTGACTAGCGCTGCACAATATTGAAAAAATCTGACACTGCGATATATTGTTTTGCCGCGATATATATTGAAATATGAATATAATTTTTACTAAATGATTTTAAAAGCTCTATTTGGAAATATTGGAAATAAAACGTCAATAAATACACAGTCTAACAGTATACAAGTAAAGCGATTGAACAGTCGAATGTAAAATAACATGGCTGCCATTGTATAAACACATCAAAACATGTATTATATTTTTTATCTTTTAATCTTTATTTAACAATCTAATCCAGCGATGTGTCTATTGTGGATACACACATTGTGATTGCGATATCAATGCTCAAACAATGTATTGTTCAGCCCTACTAGTGACTGTCTAAAATTTAAATAGGTTTTTACCTAAAATATTTTCCTCCACTTAACTAATTATTTCAACTACCAGGTCTGTTTAATTTAATCATTAAGACAGATTTAAGAACATTTAAATTGAATTTAAACATAGATATTAATTGAAATGTTCCACATCAAACTTCTCATGAATGCACAAGAGCTAGTTTGGATGTCAAGATTATCAATGAATAATGAAGACCTGAGGCTTTTCCTCACACAAAGCTACTTCAAGACTTCAGAAGACCGTATAAAATGAGCTGGTCTTTAAGGATAATTTCATGGATTTTTTGTTGTTTTAAAGGTTGACAGAATCAGTCCTCATTCACTGTTATTAAACTGAAGAAAGTAGAGAGGCAATTCTTTTAAAAAGCTCTGTGTGCTCTCCAAGGGGAAAAAAAGCAATACTTTCCGTATTGACTTGCTTGACTCTCTCACACCAAGAACAATCACTAAAACAATAACCATAATAATTTTGTCATCTGCTGCTAAACGCTCAAGATTGACTCTCATTGGCTGTCAATGTTTTTATGATTCACCATCTGGAATAGATTGTGTTTAAAGTGATTCCAGTGATATTGTTCCTCTGAGCCAATATTATTATAGTGATGGTGTGGACTCTCATTTTGGTGTGGCTAGTCATTTCAATTTGAAACAAATATATCTGTGCGGTTATAGATAATGTCCTTGGTGTCAATGAGCCTTAAAGCAGCAGGTGATTTTTTTTTTTCACTATACATTAATAAGTATGGTATATAAGACAATGCAGCTGAACTGTGTATGCAAGTACTGTATGCATGTATGTGTGTGTTGCTTCTTTTTTGACTTATGCAGATCTTTAATTAGACACACATGAACTAAAGCCATGTTATCCATCTGTTGCTGGGGCAGCTGGTGATGTTTCCCGCACTCTATACCACGCTATAAACACCCACACAGACACATATGTCAACACACAATATCATTCCTCCACATTAGTAAAAACAGATCCTTTTTTGAAATGTATCAGTTTGCATGCTATTGATATGTAAATAATTGTTTAGTCACTAGTTGGACAAAAAGCACTTAAAAGCTATGATTGGAGTCTGTCCTTAAATACTGTAGAAGCCCAACCCCTACAGAAGAGCAAATGCATGTGTGTGTGTGTTTTGGGCTCACCTTGGCTGTCCGGATTTCCTCTCCTCCTTCGACCCACTGTAGGTGCAGTGCAGAGCTGCATGTCTGCGCTTCTACGACTGCAGCTGCCTCAGATCTGCTGTGGCATCAGCTGGCCCTGATGCCAGCCTCCACAGGCAGTGATACGAGGCCAGTGACCAGACTGCAGAGAGAGTTTAAAGGATACTCAGTTTTTTCAAGACTTAAATGACTTCTGAAGGTGAAAGCATGCTCTTATGCAGAATGATTTTGAGCATCTAGTTACTAAATACTTAAAACATAAAATAAAAAATAATAACCTTTTGAACAGGTTTACAATGCAAATCCAATTACAAGTCTCTTATATAATTCATTCACTGATTAATTTTTCTTCGGCTCAGTCTCTATTTGAGAGGTCGCCACAGTGCAATGAATTGCTAACAATTTCAGCATATGTTTTACGCAGTGGATGAGCTTCCAGCCGCAACTCAGTATTGGGAAACACCATACACATAGTGCATGAACATGGGGAGATGCAAACCATTGAAATCAATTTCTCCACATAGAAATGCCATGGCCCAGCCAGGATTCGAACCAGTGACCGTCCTGTTATGAGGCGACAGTACTAACCACTGAGCTACCGTGCTGCCCCTCTCATATAAAATATCTACTAAAAGACAGTAAAACAGAAAATATTACTTTAGAAACTGCATTGTAAATAAATCTTTTCACATATATGCATATCTGTGTGTGTAGAGTCTGTGTGGGCCTACATGTCAGTAACAGCAGTATCAATGTAATTTATTCATTCATTCATTTTCTTGTCGGCTTAGTCTCTTTATCAATCTGGGGTCGCCACAATTGAATGAACTGCCAATTTATCCAGCATATGTTTCACGCAGCACATGCCCTTCCAGCTGCAACCCATCACTGGGAAACATCCATACACACTCATTCACACACATACAGTACAGTACACTATGGACAATTCAGCTTACCCAATTCACCTATGCCACATGTTTTTGGACTGTGGGGGAAACCAGAGCACCCGGAGGAAACCTACGTCAACACGGGGAGAACATGCAATCTCCACACAAAAATGGCAACTGACTCAGCCGGGGCTCTAATCAGCGACCTTCTTGCTGTGAGGCGATTGTGCTACCCACTGCACAATCCTGTTGCCCAGTATCAATGTCATGCCATGTTATTTTTCATATCTACATGCTACACTCAAGTTAAATAGAAAAATATTAATTGGCGAAAAAGAAAATGAACAATGCTTGTTGAATATATTTGTTTAATCTATTTAACATATTACTGTATTGTGCAGTGATGGAAAGCACAATCCTAAGATATCCGAAACGAAAATGAAAAAAAGTGAAATCACAAATGAGGGCTCCTGAATGTTTAATATGATTTATTTAAATATTTTACTATTGAATAATACTATTAATATTCATTCATTCATTCATTTTCTTGTCGGCTTAGTCCCTTTATTAATCTGGGGTCGCCACAGCGGAATGAACCGCCAACTTATCCAGCAAGTTTTTACGCAGCGGATGCCCTTCCAGCCGCAACCCATCCCTGGGAAACATCCACACACACATTCACACACACACACATACACTACGGACAATTTAGCTGTACTGCATGTCTTTGGACTGTGGGGAAACCGGAGGAAACCCACGCAAACGCAGGGAGAACATGCAAACTCCACACAGAAACACCAACTGAGCCGAGGCTCGAACCAGCGACCCAGCGACCTTCTTGCTGTGAGGCGACAGCACTACCTACTGCGCCACTGCTGCGCCCGATACTACTAATATTTAATATGAAATATTTTCCCAGGTGAATTTTAATGAAGACAAATAGAGTCGTCTGATTTTCAGATTTTTGCTAACTGTTTAAGCTCAATCTTTTAATCTGTCATTTTTTAATCAGCTGAGATCTGAATACAAGCTCTAAATATTTTGATTCCTAATCAAATTTGAAGGATTTTGAGCTAATAAAAACCATACACTTAAATCATAAAATCCAGAAAAAAGGGATCAAAAAAACTTGCTTATTAACTCAAATCAGAATCTTATGAATATATACAAATGTGTCGTTAAATTATTGAAACATTTGTACATTCATTCACTTTCTTTTCGACATAGCCCCTTCATTAATCTGGAGTCAACACAACGGAATGAACCGCCAACTTATCCAGCATATGTTTTACGCAGCGGATGCTCTTCCAGCTGCAACCCATACACACTCATTCACATACATACACTACGGACAATTTTAGCTTAACCAATTCACCTATAGCACATGTCTTTGGACTTGTGGGGGAAACCGGAGCATCCAGAGGAAACCCACATGAACGCAGGAGAAAACGCAAACTCCACACAGAAATGCCAACTGACCCAGCCGAGGCTGGAACCTGCAACCTTCTTGCTGTGAGGCGACAGCACTACCTACTGTGCCTACAGTGCCTTCTGAAA